GAAATTGATAAACTTACCAATTTGATGATAGAATTTCCATCCAAAACATGAAAGAGAGAGAAAGAATTGCTTGAAATTTTAGAGAGAGAAGATGTGTGAAGGAGGAAGAAGTGAGCGTATGTCTAATACACGAAATTAATCTCCTCCGTTAGATTAGAATCAATGGTCTAGATTACTTGTTTTTAGTTTTCAGCCTTAGACTTGTTTTCACATGATCCATTCCCTATATATATATATATAGGTGCACCTTGCATCCCACTATCCTAGGATATCAAAAATGTTGAGTTGTAGAGTATGTTATATTTAGAACTATCAATTCGGGTAAACGGGTCGAATAAGAGTGCATCGGGTCAACCCGGGTCGGGTGAATTCGGATTAATTCCATAATCTATGCGTGTAGGGTTTGGGTTGGGTCATGCTTGAGTTGGGTCACGTCGAATCATACTTCTTATTGGGTTTGGGTCGGGTTACATTCGGGTCGGGTGAGCAATAGGTCAGGTTTAATTCGGGTTTTCACGCGTTAAAACGGGTTAGGGTAATTCTCGGGTTCGGTTCAAGTCAATAATTTGCGGGTTAGAATCAGGTCGGGACATTCTCAGGTTTGAGCCGGGTTCAGTTCAAGTCAATAATTTGCGGATTATAATCGGGTCGGGTCATTTTCAATCGGGTCATTCTCGGGTTCATGTCAGGTTTGGTTCAAGTCAATAATTTGCAGGTTATAATCAGGTTGGGTCATTTTCAAGTCGGGTCATTCTCGGATTCAAGTCGAGTTATGTTCAAGTCAGTAATTTGCAGGTTACAATCAGGTCGGATCATTTCCAAATCAGGTCATATTCGAGTTCAACTAACTATAAATAGATAATTATCATTTTTATCAAGCTAATTATTTCCTTTGACTATAATATATATGACAATATACTAGGGAACTATAATCTATAATTTAGGAAGATAATTAACTCCTTTTGTCATACAACTATACTATATTTAACTCTTAAATTTGAGGGTGATGCTCCTTTCTTTTGCTGGCCTGGACTGACTTGGTCTCCCTAGACAAAACGTCTTAATCAATAATAATTAGGGGGTCTAAATTGCATTTAAGGTGATTTGATCGGGTCAGGAACAATTTGGGTTGAACTTAGGTCGGGTCAATAACAAGGTTAATTTCGAGTCTGGTTAGTAACATATCGGGTTGAATTTTTGGGTCGGATAAGTAATAGGTCTGGTAAAATCCGGGACGGGTCAATAACAAGTTGGGTTGAATTTGGGTTAGGTCAATAATAAGTCGGGTTGATTTCGGGTCAGGTTTATAACATGTTTGGTTAAATTCGGGTCGAGTTAGGAACGAGTCGGGTTGAATTCAGGTCAGCTTAGTAACAAGTCGGGTTAAATTCGGGTGTTGACGGGTTAAAATGGGTTTCGGTCAATTTCGGTTCAAGTCGGGTTCGGTGCAAGTTAATTAAATTGGTCGTTGAAAACTGGAAAAATTGATGCAAGTTGTAAACCAGTAAATTGGCCATTTAAAAGCAAATTGGATGGTTCCACACACCTAATTGGACTTCCGGAGGGTATTAGAGAAAATGGTAAACATTTCGGCAATTTTTATTTCCGGGATATAAAAAGTAAAAAAATCCAAAATTGAAGGCTAATATCCACACTTTTTGAGAAATTTCGGAGGTTTCGGTAGAGTTGTCAATTCGCGTAAACGAGTCGAGTTTTGGTCGATAAGATAAGAGTGGGTCGATAAGAGTGGGTTTTGGTCGATAAGAGTGGGTTTGGGTTTGGTCATGCTTGAGTCGGGACACATCAGGTCATACTTTTTATCGGATTTTGGTCGGGTTACATTCGGGTCGGTTGAACAATAGGTTGGGTTTAATTTGGGTTTTCACGGCTTAATAAAAAGGGTTAGGGTAATTCTCGGGTTTGAGTCAGCTTGTTCGGTTCATGTTAATAATTTGCAGGTTAGAATCAGGTCGGGTCATTCTCGGGTTTGAGTCGGGTTCGGTTCAAGCCAATAATTTGCGGGTTATAATCAGGTTGGGTCATTTTTAAGTCAGGTCATTCTCGGGTTCAAGTCGGGTTCGGTTCAAGTCAATAATTTGCAGGTTATAATCAGGTTAGGTCATTTCCAAGTCGGGTCATTCTCGGATTCAAGTCGGGTGATATTCAAGTCAATAATTTGCATGTTACAATCTGGTCGGGTCGTTTGCAAGTCAGGTCATATTCGGGTTTAATTAATTATAAATAAATAATTATCATTTTCATCAAGCTAATTATTTCCTTTGACTATATGTATATGCAATATACTAGGGAAGCATAGTCTATAATTTAGGAAGATAATTATCTTCTTTGACAATACAACAAATATATATTATATTTAACTCTAAAATTTGAGGATGATGCTCCTTTTTTTTGCTGGCCTGGACCGACTTGGTTTTCCTAGACAAAATGCTTTGATCAACAATAATAAGGTGGTCTAAATTGCATTTAAGGTGATTTGAAATCGGACTAGGAACAATTTGGGTTGAATTTAGGTCGGGTCAATAATAAGCCGCGTTTATTTCGAGTCGGGTTAGTAACAGATCGGGTTAAATTTTTGGGTCGTGATAGTAATAGGTCTGGTAAGATTCGGGTCGGGTCAATAACAAGTTGGGTTGAATTTGGGTTAGGTCAATAACAAGTCGGGTTGATTTCGGGTCGGGTTTGTAACAGGTTGGATTAAATTCGGGTCGGGTTAGGAACGATTCGGGTTGAATTCAGGTTAGGTTAGTAACAAGTCGGGTTAAATTCGGGTTTTGACAGGTTAAAACGGGTTTGGGTTAATTTCGGTTCAAGTCGGGTTCGATTCAGGTCAATAATTTACGGATTACATTCGGGTCAGGTATTCTCCAGGTCAGTTCATGTTCGGGTTCAGGTCTCACATACTCGGGTCAACTCGGGTCTAGTGTTGGTTTCAGGTCGGGTTTGGGTTACCATTTTTTCAATTTTAGATGGGTCGGTTAATAATCGGGTTTTAGTCAGTATTTCGGGTCGGGTCAACTTTTGACAGCTCTAGTTATATTAATAATGTACTCGTAAAAGTTAAATAAGAGTGCATTATAATGATTTTTAAATACTTGCTCCATTTCTCAATGCGCGGAGTTTAAAGAAAAATCGGAGAAAGTAATAAAATATAGAGATAGTGGGGTTAGTGTAAGGTAAATGAGAGAAGAGAGAATTTAAAAGTAATAAAATTGAGTCTCGTTAGTTGAGAGAAATGAATTAAATATTATAAAAGTTTTCCAAATATGAAAATGAAACAAGTATTTAAAAACGGCCGCAAAATAAAGTGGAGCAAATATTTAAAAATGGAGGAAGTAAGAAAAATGAAACCATCGGTGGCTGGGGCATGCTGTTTCACCAAGTTGGTCATTGTCCTCGTGAAACATGAACGGACTATATGCAATTACTGCCAATTTTGCCAACTGTTTCAAAAGTTAATTACAGAGTAATTTTCAGAAAGTAGCAGATTACTCCGTATTATTATGTGAGCCCCAATGTTAAAATAAATCAAAAGAGTTGCTTGTAGAGTCTTTGAAACTAAAAATGACGTAAAATGAATTATTAGAGGACTCAGGACTGCACTAATTGCATATACTTAATTTTTATATACAAATTAATAAGAAAGAAACAAATTAGAATACACTTATAATAATGGGTTATAATAGCTAAACCGTTGGCCGTGCGATGTTGGACCCGACAAATGTGGCTTCCCGTGCCCCTCAAGAGACCACCAACGCTAGCTACTTCTAGCACGGCACCTTCACCCCACTAGCTAACATCTAACCTCATGATTAGCCTTCTTCGAATTCGGATTCGAACTACATGCTGGAATATCACCAATTGATTTTAAGATGGAACACTCCTAAATTTATATGGGTTAAGGTAATCCACGTGTAGAGGTTTTCTTTCTCCAAAAAAATAAGTACGAAGTAGTATATAATTACTTTTTTTTTTTTAAAAAAAACACATAATTATTTACTTACGGAGTAGTATCACATCATTATACTACCTCCGATTTTTATTAATTTGCAACTTTGGGTATTATTTTTGAGATATAAAATATTCCAAAGTTGCAAATAATAAAAATCGAAGGTAGTATTATTTTTCACATTTGTTTTAAAGTTTTTTTTTGTTATTAAAATACAAGTTTTTTTATTAAATCATACACAATCAATGAGATATTTATATCTATATCTATACTTAGTCTATACTTAGTATTTAAAAACACAAACCACAACTTTTTCAAATGACACGTGGCATCACAAGTCACTCATTACCCATATGACACATGTCATCTCCTTTAATATTTGTATTTAAGTTTTTATGCAAATTCAATTAAGAAAGTGAAGTGTTTCATTTCCCTCATAATAAAATAAAGTTCAATTAATTAGTACACAACTACACATTACATCTATTCAAAAATAATAATAATTACGCATTACATAAATATATGAATTATTATAAAATTGTCTTTTCATCTCATAGACTTTAAATATAATCTTAATTAATATGTTATTTCATATCCCACAATCTTTATGAATATAACTAAATTCCTTCATCTTCTTTCACAGTTCTATTCTCACTCTATTTTTTGTTTTCCTTTTAAGTTATAGAAATAAAACATACCTACATATGAAAATAATTAACCAAAGTAACAACCCGTGCATTGAACGGACCAAAAAGCTAGTTTATATAACAATGATAAGACATGTGAGTATATTAAAGATGGTAAAATACGACTTCATTGTTACCGTAATTAAGCAAATATATTTGATACGAGTTTTGATCCAATTGAATCAATCCGACTCATAACAAATTATATCGGTCCAATCTTTGGTTCTTGAATTTGAATAATCCGGGGAGGGTTCATGTATCTACCCAAATAATTTCCTCCAATTGCCTAATTAGCATTAGGAAGAGTCATGTTACTATTTTGTTCCTAAACTTTCTAGAAATTCTAAAATAATTTGTAAGTGTGTTGCGGCAAAGTCTCATTTCCCTTTCTCTTCCCCTTTCCATATAAAAGAAAGCATAGCCACCTTCAAAGAGGGTTAGCCTTCACATTCACAATCAAAACTCCTTGTAATCTCCGTTCTTCTCTCTCTCCTCTTTTCAGGTAAAATTCTTCTTCATTTTTTCTCTCTAATTATTTTGCCATTAATTTAATGTTGTTATTTTTATTTGAAATCTTGAAATCTTTTGGTTTGATCTATGTTTTCTATTTGGGTGTTTTGACTTTTGAATCTTTTCACTTTTTGTTGTCATTTCTTTGTGTAATTTTGAATTTATGTATTGGGATTTTTTGTGAGAGTGAGGTTTTTGGATTTATATTTTTAATCTGAAAGTGACCCTCTTCAAACAAAATAATTTAAGGGTTTGTAATCTAAACCTAAATTGATAATACAATTTTACCAATTATTACATCTCTTTAATCGCAGGCAAAATTTATTGGGTTTTCATTCAAATTCTTCATCTTTACCCGATTTGAAAAAAAAAAATCCCATTAAAAGAAAATTATTTGGTTTTCTGGCTTCAGGTCAATTATAAATCAGCAAATACATTATTTAGGAGCATAATAAGAATTTAAAGTTTAGATTTTTATCATTGTTACTGGCTTACCACTCTTACCAATTAGTCGACTATCATTTACACTATATGAATACATAAAAGCTACGTTCTTACAACTATTGAATTTATGGTCGTTTTATACTTAAAATTGTCATTTGTTAATTTATATTTTTCTGCCTCGTTAGTGCTATTTAGTTTAAGGGTCTGTTCTGCTTAATTTCAGTTCAGTTCCTAATTTCCGTCTCTCATAAACTATTCATTTCAGCTCTATTCAGTTCAGTTCAGCCCCAATCACTTCAATTCAGTTGTTTTCAGTAATTTGGAACAGACCTTAAATTACAAAATTTGATCTTGAACTTTGCTTTATAATGATTTATGAATAAAGTAACTGCCTTTATATAGTTGTAGTGAATAGACCACGAATAGTGTAGAGTACCAAAATATGCAATTCACGAAAAATATTGAATGTGGAAGATAAGAACGAAAAGATAATGTGTTAGTTTGAAGGTTTAAGGAAAAGGGTGAAGGTGGGTTTTATAGAGAGATAGAAAAGCCCGTAAACACGGGCAAGGGAAAAATGGAAGGATCATAGAGTTTGATAGAATACTATGGTTAAGTTTTAGAATGAATATGCCTTTTTTTTTCCATGAGAGAGTTTAAGTAGAACGGTGCTGTATGACCGCGACCAGTGAAGGATATAGTATATTATTTGGTGCTTAATGTGCAGAGCTATCGAATTAGTTACTCTAGTAGTGAAGTTGAGTCTGAACATAATTGAATGTCTGATTGGCATTTTAGTGATAATGTATACGAAGTATTGAGGTTGATGTTTTTTTCGAATGGAACTCCTGTTGGATCAGGATGAAATTGTTTGTTAAGAATGTTAACAATGAAGATGTGTGTATTTTGTTGCTGCTCATACAACTCTTGAGCCAAATTTTCGTAAGACTTAATTGACTATACAACGTATATATTTTTGAGCTTCATCTTCTCGTGATTACACTTTAACTTGTAGTTATCTCATAAAGTTGATTTATCCTGCGTGTTACCCCTTGAATTTGTCTTTACTAAGTTGTAATCATTTGCATGCTTAAGATGTGTTTTAATGAATTTCAGGCTTAAAAATGTCGACTGTGAAGCTCCCTACCCAATGCTTGCTTAAAACCGTTCCGAAGCCAACAGCAATGACCCCAATGGTCAATTGCCCTGTATCTCTGGGTTCTGTGAAAAGTATCTCCAAGTCATTTGGCTTGAAATCTTCATCCAGCTATAGAACCACTGCAATGGCAATGTACAAGGTTAAGTTGATCGGGCCAGATGGAACAGAACATGAATTTGAGGCTGCCGATGATGCTTACATCCTCGATGCAGCGGAAGAGGCTGGGGTTGACTTGCCTTACTCATGCAGGGCAGGTGCCTGCTCAACCTGTGCTGGTCAGCTCGTAAGTGGAACAGTTGATCAGTCCGATGGATCCTTCCTTGACGACAATCAAATGGACAAAGGTTATTTGCTCACGTGTGTTTCTTACCCGCGATCAGACTGTGTAATCCATACCCACAAGGAGGGCGATCTTTACTGAGGTATTAGTCATTTGGAAACTCCTCAAATAAAGTAGAGATCATATATTGGGTGTTGCCGATGGTCAGATGCCATGGATCTTAGTTGTATGATGTAATAAATCTCGAGGTGGTGGTTTTTTTCAACTTTTTCAGAGATTTTGCCTCTCTTTTAGTTTTTCATTTGTTGATCAAAGAAGTCTTATCTAAATGTAATATCTCAAGTCTCGAATGACTTGAATAGCTCACTTGGATCATGAGAAGGAATGAAGGATTATATTGTTTAAACTGTTTTGCTCCAAATTTTGTGTTATAGCTGATCATCAGTTATGTTAGATCATCTTTTACGTACCCTATACTAGTAACTGTGGCCTGACTAATATTATGAACTTAATGTCATTCATTGAATAAGCTAAATCAGTTAATTGTAAATAACATTTAGGATTATGCACCTAAACCTTGTTTATCCTGTCTAAACTCGGGCAATACTCGCGATAATCAGTTCAGTCAAATTGTATTAGAGCATGCACATCAATGATCCCTCTGACCTCGTCTAACACTTCAGCATACTGAAAAACTGACGAAAAAAATTTCATCATCCTTCTTTCCGAGTCTCTCCTATACCCAATTAAGTTTATGTCTCTCTAACATTATTATTATTATTTTTTTCAATATTTGAATCACTTGAATGTGAATATTGGTACAGTTTTTTCTTAGTTTAATCATCCAGTTTGACGTTCTATTCTCGACTGAGATCAAGCAGGTTATGTTACACTAGTCTTTTGGAAAAAAAAAGGCTTACAGAATGTTATACTACGTATGCTACATGAGTTTAAATGGCATGATGCGAGGACAGATTTATAGGATGAAAATTTTCCATTTTCAACATGCTTGGACTTTGTTTTTGTGTACCAAAATATTAATCATAAATTCAAGATGATTTTTTTTTTCCATCAATTTTTTTTTTTTTTTTTTTTTGATTGGGTGAGAAAAGCTAGGTTAGCCCCTTTGATTAAAGGACCAAAATAGAGTGTTATGGTGGTGCCTCTGCTTTGCCATGTAGTCCGTCGCCATATTCGTCTTCTTGCAACAATGGTGAATGGAGTAAAAATGATGTGCTTGCTCAAAACAATAATTGTGCTTGCTCAAAACAATAATGCCGGATCTTGGAGTGCATTGAGGCCTAGTGATTATTGGAGTTCTAGACAAGTTCATTAGCCCAATGGACCAGAACCTTTTGAACCGAAGCAAACAAATAATTAAGGCCCAATTTTTGTAAAAAAAAATCTACTAATCTCGATGATTAGAAAATAGAAAGCTCAATCATAACTACAATCATTCCACATTTCTAATTCTAAAAAAGTCTATTTTAGTGAATGATCTTTTGACAATTAGAGTTGGGGGGGGGGGGGGGGGGGAATAAGAATAAAGTGTCCTATTTTGAAATCCAACTTTCATTGTGTATTAGTAGTGCTTAATTCAAAAGAAGTAGGGTGTCTTGATGGGAAGATTTGATTCTCAATGTCTCAAAAGAGAAAAAAAAAATTGTGTCAAGTTTTCTTTTGAGCATGAGATGACGAATGTACGAGTTCAAAATAATAGATTTCATAAGTATTTGCGTAGGAGAAAAGGTAAATTTTTATATAGGGTTTATTAAATAATCCAATGTATAAATTATATATTCTTAAATTACAATTCTACAAGTATATAAGCTAATTTTGAGTTTTTTTTTTTTTTTTTTTTTTTTTTTTTTTGTTTTTTTTTTTTGTTTTTTGAAGGATGCTAATTTTGCGTTTAATGATGAGTTAGTTAAAATTTTATAACTTTAAATAATTTAATTGCCGATATACCATAAAATAATATCCCTATTGTAAGAATGTCACAATTATATAAGTTGTACAACTAGATTTTAGCTACTTTAATATACTAATATATTTATTTATTGTATTAATAATTAAGGATTGCATCATTATTTTGAATAAAATATTGAAAGCTATACTTACTACGATACGAAGTATGTAGTAGTACCTCTTTAATTAAATGAAAACAAACGATCGAAAGGCCAGCAAATTAATGTACAAATAAGAGCATCTAATCAAATTGACCTTTTTTGGTGGTTGGTTATTGCTTTTCAGCCTCTCATCATATGATTGTCGCACTTTCTCTCTTTTTAATTGAGTAAAAATCAAATTTTCATTATTATTAATATCGAATCATAGCAAAGATTACAATTAGTGGACGTGAAGAACTGGAGATGAAATTGTGATGTATGCTTTGTTTAACTTCCTTGCTTTCATAAGTTATTATTTGAAGATTAATTAGTCTAAAGTTTGTTATTTTTTTTACCTATTTTTTAATGGATGATGATGGATTGATGATGCTTATGAGCATATCACAGATAATTATTTAGTTTCCCAATTAAAAAGTTATATCTTTGATTAACTAATGCTTATAAATCAAGTATTCAAAAACACTTGTGTGGATCTGGTCCACAATAATATTATTGTGGACCCGAGGTCTATACACACGCAACTGACATTATATTGAATATAGTGACCATTATTTTTAACATAGTAACCTTATTTTTAACATAGTAACCTTTATTAAAACTACTACAACGTTTAATAATATTGTGAACTTGAAATACGACGCTATTACCCTAATTTTAGCATAGTGGCCTTTATTTTTCATATTGATTAGTATATAAAATATTTCATTACAAAAATATCCACTTAGGCCTATATATTACCAAAATGATTTTTATTTCAACATAGTGACCTTTTTTAAAAATTATAGTGACCCTTTTTTTTGTTAATAAAACAACCATACTTTCTCTAATGTTAGTGGTCCACAATAAATTAGTGTGAACCAGGTCCATTTAAGAATTTATATCAAGTATTATATAAAGGATACTTGTTTACTCTTCAAGGCTTGGAAAGAAATGATGATTGATTTGGACTTTTCTTGCAAGGCTTTTACTAATTATTGATTTATTTTAGTTTTATGTTCATATTGATGAAACACAAGTAAAATTTGGGAGAAAGAAGACAAAAATAAAAAATAAAAATAATAATAATAATAATAAGGGATATTTATTAATTACTTTGTATTAGGTACAAGATTTTAAATTAATTAGGTTATGTCCGATTCAACTGATTTCATCTGAACTTATATGAAAATCTGATCTTAAATTATTATTTTATGAACTAAATTGATTTAAATAATTTTTTTTTTTGAATTAAGAAGACTTTTCATAATTCGTATCATTAGTATAATTAGTTGAAACATGTAACCCTTCATCACGAATCTATACTTATATATTAAAAAGTGTTTCTAAAACAGAATACGTTTCACGTGTTACATTTTTCAAGTTCAACATGTCAGCAATATGCGCCACATGTCATTATAAACATGACATGTCACTTTCACATGTATTAGGTTTGCATCTAAAAAATGCTTATAACAAGACTTGAACTTAAGACCAACAAAGTTTTACCATCTTAGCTATTTATTAATTTTTTTTATTTTTTATTTTTTTTTTTATCTTACAAAATCATAGTTAACTCAGGTAAGTTAGTTTGTGTCTTATTATACTATTTCTTTCTATTATGTAATGATTGAGTTTGACAACTATTTTATTTTTTATAACCAAACTTAAACTCGAAACCAACAACTTTTACTATCTAAACAGTCGAATTTGATTAGCAAATTATACTTTGAGGGGGTAGATTCTCACGATTAGGAGGAAGAACAAATACAAACTAGCAACTCAGGACACCGCCCGGGTCACACACTAGTTAACTACTCGTACTAATTGATGATATCATTTCTCCAAATAGAGATTACAATTTATAGAAAAATCTAATTAACATATATTTCAACCGAGCAAAAAGGAAGATCATAAATGACTCATATACAACCGCCATATTTGAACTTGCATCAATCAAAATCAAAAACCTCATATCAGCCTCAATGAGGACGTCATAATTATAGTTGATAAAATTGACCACCCTTGTGATGATTCATTATTTCAACATAGAATACGTAGTTAATTACGACTATATTACGTATTCCGTAGAAGAAACAAGCCTCCAAATCGAACTTGGTAAACCAAAATTGAATTGCAACTAGGATAGAACATAGGAAAATCCAAAAAAATAGTAAAAACTCAACTCCATTCATTAGCTAATTAATATAATGAGCAATCATGCACAATTGCCCAAATAGCACCCCACTTTAGAAGATGGCGCGCCAATAGCCAAGTATAATAAAGTATTGCTATTTGCTATGCATTAATCCAATTTAAATTACTATGACTAATTTTTGGAGTCGGATAATATAATTATATCAAGGATATACATAGTACATAACAATAATAATGTGCATAAAATTCATAATTGAATTATACTTTTGTTTAATTTTTATTCTATATTATTCATTTATTTTGGTTGCAATGTAAGACAAATAGCAATACAAATGATTTAATTTAATAATGAAACTTTTGATTTAAACTTGAAATTAAGGGTTCAACTTTTATTTTCATGTATGACAATGAAGAATGATATCCAACAAGTGAGAGAAACTAGCAAGTGGTGCATATGCTTACTTCGAAATGATTTTTGATGTAGAGTATACAAAATTTTTTTTTCTTGTTAAATAGCTATAAAGACAGGTGACAAAAATAATCTCAAAATCCTCTAAAAAAAAAACAAAAATTCTATTCGTTATCCCTCACTTATAAAATTCTAACCGTTAGAGTATAGATATTATGATCAAACTACAATATTATGCAATTTCAGCCCATTTTGTGTGTGCCCCACTTATAAAATAATAAAGTAATCCATATAAAACTGACAAAGTTACCCATATAATACTAACTGAGTAATTCCTATAACACTAACCGAATAATCTTGTAGCATTGAGGACGAAGTAACACCTTTAACACTGACCAAATAACCCCTATTACACTAACGAAGTATCTCCTGTCACACGGTATGACCAGCCATATATAAGACTTTGTTATGCAGTATATATGCAGTATATATATTTTTACTGTTTAAAATATGGATGTAGATTGGTCAAATGAATGTCAAAAAGGTAGCTTTTTTATTCTGACTGCTGCCACGTATTTACACGTGACTAATAGTGAAATTACACGTATACTTTAAAAATCTGATGTAAATTCGTGTCAGCTTCAATTATCCACTTCGTATAAGCTCTTACACTTTTCTCCCTTTTGACTCAAACCAAAAACACCCCAAGTTTTTGTATTAAAGGGATTTATGGTGGCGCCGTGAAGGCGT